TTTGTATATAAAGGGGGGGAAAGGGTATTTAAATCTCCTCCCTTGTTTTTTAGGGGTTTGGGTTTAAAAGGGGAGATTCGTTGGGTTAGTGGGGGCTTGGAACGTGGTTGGGTATTTGCCGTGAGGTAGTCTTTTGGTGGGGTATCGAGTTGGGGATTTTATTGGGAGGTTTTGTCTATAGTGGAGAAGAAATCTTTGGGTTGTTTGTGTTTCTGTTGGGGGAGTTGGGGTTCATCGATTTTGCTAATTTTTTTCGTATTTCGTGATATTTTTTTTTTTGTTCCAGAATTTCTGTGGGTCTTCCGGGTCTTTTTTATATCCCCTGTAAGTTGGAAATCTGTTTCATAATACAGTTTTTTTGCCCTTTTATCAGGTGGTTAGGATTGACGATAACGTTTTTTTTGGGTTTTGGGTTATGTGACCCATTCTGTATGTTTTTCATATCGTTTTTTTGTATTTATGGATTTGGAATGGGGTGTTAGCCGGGACTGTTCGCCCTTTAGTGTTATTTTTTTGTTTTTTTAGGGCAGTGTTTGTTTGGGTATTGGGTCTTTTTTAGAAATTTTTAAAACTTCGTCATATCTGTATGATTTCTGTCAGGTGCCAGTCAATGTTTGTTACTGCTGTTGTGAAGTTATTAATGGCGCTCTTTGTGAAGTTGAGGGGTGATTTTTAGTAGTGTTTGGGTTTTTCCCAAGAGTTGTTTGGAAAGTAGGGTAGTGGCGTGGTATTTCTGAAAATTTGCTGTTTTAAAGGGGGTATGGTGTTGGTCCAGATGTGGTCAAGTAGGGAAACACTGTTCTCTGTAACTCTTGTAGGTTTTGTTACTGTTGGTAGCAACATGCAGTTACTCATTGTGTTTGTGAATTCAGTAACGTGTGGGTTCCTGAGAGGAACTGACAAGGTGGACAGAGATAGGATGTTCCAGAGATGTGGCACAGCAACAAAGGATCACAATTAGAAGCTGAAGACAGATGAATCATAGGGATGTTAGAAAGTATTTCTTCAGTCATAGAGTTTGTCAGGAAGTGGGATAGTCCTGAGAGTGATGCAGTGGAGGCAGGATCCATACATAGCTTTAAGAAGAGGTATGATAAGGCTCATGGAGCATGGAGAGAGTGGACCTAGTGGCGACCAGTGAAGAGCGGGGCCAGGAGCTATGAATCAACCCCTGCAATCACAATTAGGTGATTACACACACAGACACACAGACACACACACACACATTGATAAGGGAAATACTTCTTCAGCCTCATGTCTCTAAGGCAGAAGAGTATGAATTACGTGAGGAACTGGTGTGTCGAACCTCATCTGCAGTTTCAAGAATAGGTATGACAGGGGTCAGGACGCCTGGAGTCCACAGTTATTAGAAGTTACTGGAGGAGTTAAGAGGTGAGATTCGACCCCCTGAAAGTTGTGAATTAAAGGCTTCCTTGAGCAGGAGGGAGCGCCGCCCCCTCTACTCCCTGATTACTTTGTCTTTGTTGATTTATAAGGCCTCGTGATGACGACTACTGAAGCAAAAAATCAACTTGATTATAACTTCCTGCAGTGAATCAACGCGACAAGGGAGAAAAGTCATCAGTGAACCGACACAACAAGAATAACAACGCTAAAATTACGACAGTCATCGGAAGGAGAAAGTAATGTAAGCAAAGTACACGTATCGAGAAGAGAGAAGACAGTGCTACGCTGGAAGGTTGAGTTCTTCTTCAGTGCGGGCGTGAAGGAGCCTCGGTGTGGGTACAGGTGTAGGTGTGGGCGTCTCAGGGTCTTGGTGTGGGTGTGAATGATCCTGGTGGGCGTCTAGAAGCCTCGACTCCTCATGGTTCTCCTCTTTGGTGTTGGCTGCTGGCTTCTCCAGCTCTACATCATCGTCTCTGTCACCGTAGAGGTCCAGCTCGTGGCTATAATAGTACACTACCAGATCCCCGAACACTGAGATGAAGGTAAACACTGCAAAAGAAACGGTAAAGCTGCAACAGAAACGGTAAAGCTGCAACAGAAACGGTAAAGCTGCAACAGTAACGGCAGATGAGAAGATGGCAGCCTTGAAAGGCACGTAATTCCCCCCGTCTTCTTATAACATGTACATTTGTACACTATAATTTATCTTGTCCATAATTACTATCGCATTTGGAAAAATGAGCATATTAATTACAAGACGAGAGAACTTACGTGCCTCTTAACAGGGCATAAACACAGAGGTGTATGTCTCTTTGTGAATATTTACTGTGTGTGCTGGGGTACAGTGTATATACACTATGTACACACACACCTCTCATTGTAGATACACTGAGAGGTATATGTCTCTCACTGTATATATATTGAGGTGTATATACACAGGTAGTTTACTTTCAATCTAAGGTACTACTGTACGCTTAATGGCCTTCCTGCAGTCGAAAGGCTTTGAACCTAATTAGCCCGACAGGTGTGTAATGGGACTATAACGGGTGTGTGTGACAGAACATACCTGCAGGCACCAGGTGTATGATAGTTCTAAACTTGTCAGAATCATAGAGCCAACAGTTGCCCGACACTCCACACGACTGATCCCACACCTGACACGACGAGTCTGGGAATGACACGTGTAGCAACATATTTAATAATAATAATAATAATAATAATAATAATAATAATAATAATAATAATAATAATAATAATAATGAGAAACGCTATGTATGAGGCCCCTGTTCACTGTTAGGTGAACAGTGACAGCAGGTGTAAGGAGATCAACATCCAGGTACCTACTTACTGCTAGGTGAACAAGAACAGCAAGTGTAAAGTGACTAACAGCCAGGTACCTACTTACTGCTAGGTGAACAAGAACAGCAAGTGTAAAGTGACTAACAGCCAGGTACCTACTTACTGCTAGGTGAACAAGAACAGCAAGTGTAAAGTGACTAACATCCAGGTACCTACTTACTGCTAGGTGAACAAGAACAGCAAGTGTAAAGGACTAACATCCAGGTACCTACTTACTGCTAGGTGAACTGGGGCAGCAAGTGTAAGTGACTAACATCCAGGTACCTACTTACTGCTAGGTGAACTGGGACAGCAAGTGTAAGTGACTAACATCCAGGTACCTACTTACTGCTAGGTGAACAAGAACGCAGGTAAGTGACTACTCAGGTACCTATTATGTTACGTGAACAAGCGCAAGTGTAAGTGACTAAAGCCAGGGTACATACTTATGCTAGCTGAACAAGACAGCATAGGTAAGTGACTAACTCGGTACTTACTTATGCTAGTGACAAGAACAGCAAGTGTAAAGTGTAACATCAGGTACCTACTTATCTTAGGTGAACAAACATAGGTGTAAGGAGTGTTCCACTCGTTCGGAGTTGAACCCAGGCTGTCAGATATGAGCCGAAGTCCTTAGTCAAGTCACGTTTATAACTAAGCGACAGGATTGGTAAGGGCCTTGATCCAATGAATGGAGCTGTACTTTTTGTCTGTCTTCAGAAGCCTATAATCTAAGAAGCTGCCTATAACCCATACAGCCTTCAATATCGTGATTATATCCACACCTAGACCTGTCATGAATTATTCAGGTACTATGTGACACAAAGTGACCTGAAGAATGCAGTGCGTCACACCTCATTCTTCGCCTATAAACACTGCCATTTTAACCTCTGTATGCTCGAAGAGATGAAGGTCTTGAGGACCGTAACGCTTTCTACTAAGTATGTCCTAGTGTTTGCTTACCTGTCTTTCTAAACTACCTTGTGGATACCTATTACCAAGGTTCATACCACCTCAGGTTACCTCTGCACTTACCTATGATGGCTCCCATGATTATGGGAGCTGGAATAAATCCCAGCAAACTGATGAAAACTGTGAGGGTGCCAAGTGCCAGACCCTTGTCCTCATCTGCCACTGATCTGTCGGTGGGAGAGAGACTCAGTACGTGGGAGAACGTGGGAGTACATGGGAGTACGTGGGAGAACATGGATGTACGTGGGAAGAATATTACAGGGAGGTCTCGAAGACCGTAGGGAAATTATTGTTGAAATTATATGATAATTTCTTTATATAAATGCGCGCGCGTGTGTGTGTGTGTGTGTGTGTGTGTGTGTGTGTGTGTGTGTGTGGGGTTGTTTACCTTATATGAAAAAACCATTTTGGCCCGACTCTTCCCGGGGATGCCCCTGTCTTGTGATGATCTGGATGATGAGTTTAGTGGGAAGGAATTTTGTCACAGGGTTTCCGGGCTTTTCCCCCTTGGGAAAGTACCCAAGTCCTAACCAGCCTGGGGTTTTTAGTGGAAGTATTTGTAGTAGTGGTGGTGGTGGTGGTAGTTGGTGGTAATAGTGGTGGTGGTAGTTGGGGGTTTAGTATGGTGGTGGTAGTGGTGGGGGTACTTTGGTGGGGGGGGATGGGGGTTTAGGGGGTGGTAAACAATGGCATTTTGAAAGTGTATTTTTTTCCGGAACCCAGTATTTTGGGGCCCACTCCCGTGTTTGAACGGTCCAGGCCAAAAACCTCATAATGGCCCAGTAAGGATCAAAAACTTTCCTTTTGACTTTCATATTTCACACTACCCGTACCTGAGGCGGAGGAGGGGGAATTGGATGTTTGAAGGACTCCCAGGGGAAGCGCTGAGGAATTTCTTTTGGATGCTGAGAGGCTGAGGAGTTTGAGTGCACAAACCTCATTGAACCCCTGCAACAGACACCTTTTAAATGTGCATTTGTTCAGTGAAATTATTGAGAACAGGTCTAAAAATTTTTCCCTGGAAAAAGTTTTTACTCTTTAATAAATTTGGTAGAATTCCCGACAATATAAAAAGAAAAAGGACAAAAGTGCAACAAATTTGACATTTTTGTGGAACTTTTTGTCTCCAGGAGTTTATCAAGCCATTACAAACAATACAGGAACAGGGGGGTTTATAAAAAGGCTCAGAGTGAGGTAAATACTAGTGAGGTCCCTTTTCGATTTTCACTAGTGGTAGTAGTATAGTAGAAGTAGTAGTGTAGTGACAAAATAATACAATAGGTAAGCAAATAATTCGTACATTTAAAAGGATATAAAAGCTATTACTTGGGTAACATAAAAAATAGGTTGGACAAAAATAGAGGGAAAATGGGGCAGCTTTTTCAGTGTTCACTCTCGTGCTTTGTGTATATAACAGGAGATATGAGGCAGGGTTTATGTTTTCAGGAGGATTCTTGCAAGATTTCGGAGATGGTAAAGCCCCGTTGTTTTGTTTAATTGAATTCGAAACAGCGATCAGTGCTGTTTCGGGGACTTGCTCTGGGGAAAAATTGTTTCTTTGATCACTAATTGGGCGCTCTGAATTTAGAATATTGGAGAATTTCGGTGTTGTCCCAAGGCTTTGTTAGGTTATCGTTCCACATCAAAATGTGTTATTGAGGCGGGTGTCGAGGTTTTGGTGTTTACCTACGTAAATCTTGTCACACCTCCAAAGGGGTTAGTGTAAAAACTCCTGCATTGATGGTTCGTGGTGTTTGGGTTTTTGTCTGGTTATTTTTTGAAGTGTAAAAGCGATGGCGACTTGGTTTAGCTTGTGAAAAACTTTTGAGGTTTGGTCAGGTTGCACTGAAAGTCCAAAAATACTTTCACAAGCTAACACCCAATCGCCCTCGCTTTTAGCACTTCAATAAAGGAATAAAACCCGGGGCAAAATCCAAGCACCACGAACCAGAAAAAAGGAGTTTTCACTATAAACCCCTTTGGGGGCTTGACAAATTTACGTAGGGGAAACAGCCCGAAAACCTGAACCCCCCTCAAGAAAAATTTAGCATGTAGGAACATAAACCTGAAAAACGCCTGTGTACAAAACCGAAATTCCACCAGTATCTCATGAAAAATTTAGAGACGCCCCAAATTTGTGATAAAGAAACAATTTTTCCCAGACGCAAGTGCCCCGAATCGCACTGATCCCCCTGTTTTGAATACAATTAAACAAAAAAAACGGGAGCTTTACCTCTCAAATCTTTGCAAAAACCTCCTGAAAAAATAAACCCCGCCATCCATAGTTTTCCCTGAGACCCTTTTGTGTGCCCTTTTGAATTGAACCAGGATGCCCTCTCTTGAGCACTTTTCCAGCAGCTGAGAGAAGAACTCAGTTCAAACTGGAGATACGGCGATTAACGGGGAGAACAAGAGGATTCGTAGTAATCCCCCCCCTTGGGTCCCCCCGGTTAAGGGGGAGCTTGGTCAGTGGTCGGCAACTTGGGAAACCCAAACTGAAAATTTTAAGAAAACGGGTTGGGAGAGGCAGAAACAACGAAAACCAGAAAACGCCCTGGAAACTTCCAATCTTTCGGTGTACCTGACGAATGTGAGTGTTCAAAGGAATGCCCCAACGAACCAGGAACATTGGGAGCGTGAGTGAGAAACCCTGAAAACCCCCCAAAGAAGACCATGAAACGTTGACATTTCCAAATGGTTAATGCTACCCGGCAAAGTAGTCGCTCTCGGGGCTTCACTACGGACGACGCCCAAAGGAAAATAAAAAACATTTTTGTTGTTGGGGGGAAACCAATTTGGGACATGGATAGGGCATTCTGTTTGAAGGATAGGAGTAGGAGGAGAGGTATGTTTTCCTGGGGGTGGGATGAAGGATATTGTTTGCCGTCTGGAAAGACATAAATGGGGG